AGTCAGTGATATCCTTATTCCAGTGCTCTGGACTAAAAAGATAGAAAGTGGGCTCTTGATGACAATAGTGACAAGTTCTTGAGTAGATTTGTAGCTTGGGTTGTGGATGCTGTGGTTGATTTGCTCGCCGAGCTGGGTCGTTAGTTCGCAGACGTTTCATTACCCTGCTGGGTAACATCATCAGTGCAGCCTCCGATGAAGCGCTGTTGTGTTTTCCTGCCTGGTATTTAAACTCTGGGGTCCTTTGAAATCGGTTACCTAATTTCTGGTTTTTCTTCACAGTGGTGTATATATAGGGTCTAATGCTATGTGATTATTGATGGCCTTCTTGGTGGAAAACCAGGCCTCTAAAAATTCCCGTGCTTGTCTCTGTTGGCTTGTTCTAGGATCCTGATGTTGGTGTTCAGTTCGATTGGGACAACATCAGGATACTAGGACAGGCCAAACAGAGACAAGCACGGGAATTTCTAGAGGCTTGGTTCTCCACCAAGAAGGCCATCAATAAACATGTAGAATTAGACCCCACATACACACCACTGTGAAGAAAAACTGAAAATGAAGTAACCAACTCCAATGGACCCCAGAGATTAAATAACAAGTGGGAAAACATAACAGCTCTTCATTAAAGGCTGCACTGATGATGTTATCCAGCAGGGTAATGATACATCTGCAACTAGATTGGCGAGTGAACTAACCACAGATATTAGTGACAGCAACAACCATATCATTTATATAGCATCTTTAGTACATTATATACCCTAAGGCACTTCACAAGAGGTTTGCATAAGACAAAATTCAGATAGGTGATCAAATGCTTGAATAAAGAGTTACACTTTAAGGAGTACCTTAAAGGAATTTTGAGGGAGATGCTGAACAGACTTGGGGAGGGAATGTTATAGTTGAGACCTGGATGGATAAAAGCAAGGCTGCTAAAAGCGAGGCAAAGAAACAGGTTGGAGGAGGGTGATGCAACAGAGCACAGGCAACACTTCATCGCAGTATTGTTGGAGTGCTGCACTGTCAGAAGTGCCAGCTTTCAGGTGACATATTAAAAGAAGATTTTGTTTGCTGCACAAATGATCACAAAAGATCTTTTGGCACTTTTAGAAGTCAGGTGAGGCGATTCCCCTGTAATGCTGGCTAACATTCCTCCTTTAAGCATTGCTATCAGTAAGCTTAACGGGTTGTTCACATCAGTTGCGGGTTGTACAAGCTTGCTGTGTTCCGGTGGTTGCTATGTTGTTCTATATGGTGGCCACACATCCAAGTAATTTCTTGATGGTGGAGCATTGTGAAATGTCCTAGTAAGATGCTAAATCAAGAAAAAATCTTCATTTCTATTCAAAGAATTAGCAAAAGACAGACAGCTAAAAATCCTGCAACAGAGTCTTACATCATGTAGTTTTTGGCTTAATACAATTTCCAAATTATCCCCTCCTGTGATCTGTGAAGACAGTTGGGGCTTTAGTTTATCTCCTTATCTGAAAGACAGCTCTGCCATTGGAGCTGCCAATCTGGTACTGCACTGGAGAGTCAGCCTAGATATTGTGCTCAACTCTTTGGGTGTGGCACTTCACTCTGAAGCCTTTGAACTCAAAACTGCCCACTAATCCACAGCAGGACTACAGGGACAGACTCATTCTGTCAATTTTCTAGTCTTCAAGGATAGTGTTCGATAGCATCTTGGTAAATATTACTCCTTCCCCAACAATTAATTCAAGGTTAATTAACTTTCCCTGGCATGAGTTCCATGAGAGTGGCTACCCTTTCTCATAATGCAGCTTTTATGGCTTAGTGTAAATGGTTGCATTGAGTAAGGTCTGTTTGTTAATCCCGAGAAAGCACATTAATATATGCCATTATTCAGTATGATGTGGGATCAGGAACACTAGTAGTCCTACACTCTGTATAATATCAGTTGAGTTGGAGCGAATATGATTAACATTTCAAGCTGGAAGAAACCAGGGAATTCTTCTTGATAAAGTGACATTCAAGAAAAGAATGTGCATTTACACATTTTCATTGTTTCAATACATCCCATAGTGCTTTACAGCCAATGAAATGCTTTTTTTAAAGTCTAGTCACTGTTGTCAGGAAATTTAGAAGCCAATTGACATACAGCAAGTTCCCACAAACAGCAATGTGATAATGATCAGTTAACTCATTTGTGATAAGGTTGGGTAAGGGATAAACATTCAACAGGAGTAAGGAAATCAGGATAGAAAGAAGCCTGTTGAGCTAGGCAATGAATTTATATTGTATGACATGTCAAAAAACCTGGTTTGCCAAAAACCCCTGTTTAAGGAAAGGAATTGGTTCCATGCTGTAGGGATTCTATAATTCTGTGACTACAAGATTCACCAGAACAAACTAATTTCTGCCTTAAGCTGACTGCTCAGACAGAGAGATACAATTTTCATGGAGCTATCCTTAGACAGACAATGCACAACACCCTCCACAGATGTTTTCCTTTAAGCCAAGGGTTTCAGAAAATCCTCACACTGAACAACAAGGTTACCGTAGCAACGATGCTGCCACCAATCAACAGGAGGCTTCAACTAGCCAATTACAAAGATCTCCACAGTCAAGACAACCAGAACAGAACCAAATCATTTTTGTCTTAATACATGAACAATGTTACCTCAACTCAGAGAGATGCACCATCTACCTTCATATCACGTCACTTTTCCTCCTATTTCCGATGATTAACTTGGAAGTGAATGCTTCTTGTCTTTTGGATGAGGTGCAGTTGCCTTTAAAATTGACGTTGGCGAGGAAACTGTTGTAGAATTGAACAGCACAGAAGACCATTTCTCCCATTGTCTTCGAAAGAGCTATTTAATCAGTCCCATTCTCTCTTTTTTTATTGCCTACAGCCACTCCAAATTATTTCTTGTGAATGATTTATCCAATTCCTATTTCAAAGTTCCTACTGAATCTGTCCCTAATAATGTTTCACACCATGCATTCCTGATCAAAACAACTCACTGAATGGTCACCCATCTCCCCTCTGCTTCTTTTGCCATTTATTTGAAATCTGTGTCCAATGGTTACAGCTGCTTCCAGTGCAAAGTTTCTTCATAAAGTACTTCTCAAACCCTTTTAAAGTCTGAACATTTCCATTACACATCCTGGTAACTTTCTCTACTCTAATCAGATGATCCCAGCTCCTGCAGTCCTTCCATGTAACTGAAACTCCTCATCTCGGAGTCCCACTCTAGTAAATCTCCAAGGCCTTCCCAAAGTATGATGCTCAGCTGAGGCAATAATCATTGGTTTATAAAATTTTAGCCGAATTCCCTTGTTTTTGGCTTGATTTATAAAATTCAAGCATTCTGTATCGTGTTTTTGAAACAGCCGGATCAGTGTGATACCACCTTTAGGAATTTGTACAGGAACCCATACCGTACCGACCTCAACAGCAACTGGGTAAAGTCATATATCATAGCACGTGTGTACCTTCGCCATTAGTTTTGCTATTCCTCTTCCTCTGTATGCATCAGGAACCTCTGTGTGCTGCAGATCGATTGTTTTCTTTCCCACGTACTCATATAAGAGCACTGCCCGCTCGTGTGATCCTAAAACAAGAGGAAACAAGGTGAATGATCAATGGTGTGAACAACTTGATACCACTTGCACCATTGGATGAAAACATGATCTGTTCAGATCAACTGATTGGTGCACCATCATACTCTCTTCGATCACTCCCAACAACAGTGCCAGAGCTGTAACTACCAGTTCTCTAGACATTATGCAGACACAGCCCAGGTTTTAAGAAACAATTGTCTACAATTGTGCCTCCCGCTTTTCACAGTTCAAGGCAGGGATAGAATGATTACTTTTTAAACAAGATTTTTCAGCATGTAGGTATCACTAGGAAAGTTGGCATTTATTTTCCATCCTCCATTGCCTTTGTGAAGGTGGGAGTGGTAGGACACCTTCTGGAACTGCTGCAGAAAGTGTGGTTAAGGAGCTCCCATTGTGCTATTCAGTCAGGAGTTTCAGAATGTTGATCCAGCGGGGAAAGAAGACACAGAGTCCTAATTATATGACATCTTTCACAATTGCAGCATATCCCAAACTGCTCACATATCAATGGTGTACTATTGAAATATAGTCATTGTTATAATGTGGGGTATAAAACAAAGGAGCTGGTGTATGTTCCTTGGTTATAGAGTCATACAGCATGGAAACAGTCTCTTTGATTCAACCAGTCCATGCTAATCATAATCCCAAACTAAACTAGTCCCACCTGCCTGTGCTTGGCCCATATCCATCCAGACATTTCATATTCATGTACTTGTCCAAATGCCTTTTAGATGTTGTAACTGTACCCGCATGTACCACTTCTTCTGGAAGGTCATTCCACAAACAAACCACTCTCTGTGTAAAAGAAATTGCCTCTCGTGTCTTTTTTTAAAATCCATTTCCTTTCATCTTAAAAATGTGTCCCCTAGTCCTGAAATCCCCTACCCTAGGGAAAAGAAACCTGCCATTCACCTTATCTATACTCCATCACGATTTTACAAATCTCAATACGGTCACCCCTCAACATCCTATACTCCAGTGAAATAAGTCCCAGCCTATCCAGACTTTCCTTATAACTCAAACCCTCCATTCCCGGCAACATCCTGGTTGATCTCTTCTGAACTCTCTCCAGCTTAGTAAGTCCTCGCTATCTTTTAACAATATGACGGCTGATCCCTTAACTTCACCCACCCACACTATCCCTCTGTGCCCTGATTCCTTCAGCATCTAAAATTCTATCAATCTCTGCCTTGAATAAACTTAGTCGCTGAGTATCAATGGTTGCCCTTTGTGTATAGATATTTCTTCTCAATCTAGTTGTAAATGGCAGGCTCATTACTCTGAAATGGTAACAGCTAGTTCTAGACTCCCAGCTAGAGGAATTGTCTTCCAAGCACTGAGCCTGTCATGTCCCTTGAACATTTTATATTCCAATGAGATCATCTCTCACTCATCTAAATTTGAGAGAATATATACAAGGATTCTCAATCTCTTCATGGAGGACAATCAGCTCACCCCAAGAATCAGTTTAATGAATCTTCATTGCAATCCTTTTGAGCCAAGCATGTCCTTCCTTTGGTAAGGAGCCCAATATTGTACACTGCACATGAAGTGAGATTTCAATATGAACGACAGTGACCATAGTCCAGCTCAAGATGGTGAACCATTTGGAGAGAAACTGGAGGGTAGTGGTATTGTCTTGGATCTGCTGCTCATGGTGGTAGAGGTTGCAGGTTTGGGAAGTGCATTGAAAAGGGAAACGTAACCAAAATGTTGCAAGATACATTCCTAAGTGACACTTTTGCTGAGTTTCATTTCTCTCCTTGAGGACGACTGCATTTTCTCACAGTTCATCACATGCCCACCTAGTCAGCTATCACACCCTTGGTGATGTTCTTACCTGGTGCTAGCCTGACTCTCCTGCTCATTGTCACTGGAAGTACTCAACTTTGCGTAAATATCCCCGAATACCTTGAGAGCAGCACTGTTGAGTTCACCATTGAGTTCCTGAATAAGCCTGGCACTCCAGCTCTGCACGGCTGCAAACATTCTAACTAGCCAGGGCTGTTCAGGGGGAATTCGCACTGTGATTCACTGACAGGGACTTAGACTCCTGCGGAATGAGGCAGTACAAACAGGGGCCATCCTGTTCTTCAGGACCAGCACAGGAGGCCATGACATTTGATCCTGGTCAGGCACTGTCTGGCAACACCCTCAACGGTGCAAGCAGAAGGTCAAAGTGAAGTGGGTGGCACAGTGGCTCAGTGGTTAGCATTGCTGTCTCACAGCGCCAGGGACCTGGGTTCAATTCCACCTTCAAGTGACTGTCTGTGTGGAGTTTGCACATTCTCCCTGTGTGTGCATGGGTTTCCACCAGGTGCTGCGGTTTCCTCCCACAGTCCAAAGATGTGCAGGTTTATATGGATTGGCCATGCTAAATTGCCCACAGTGTCCAGGAATGTGCAGGCTAGGTGGGTTAGCCATGAAGGATGCAGGGTTACAGTATAGAGGGGATGGGTCTGGGTGGGATGCTCTTTGGGGGAGTTGGGGGGAGGGAAGGTTAGTGCAGACTCACTGGGCTGAATGGCCTGCTTCTACACTATAGGGATTCTATTTCTCGTGAGCAGCTACTGCATCAATGGGTACACAGTGACTTGAAATATGGGCACTATCCACTACACAGCCAGTGTTATTGTATCATAGGAATTGTTTATTTAATTCACTTGTGGGTGCTGGATACCACCTACAATCCAACCCCATAACCAAAAATATATTTCCCTCCCCACCTCAATCTGCTTTCCGGAGGGACCGCTCACTCTGCGACTCCCTTGTCCGATCCACACTCCCCACCAACCCCACCACCCCTGGCACCTTTTCCTGCAACCACAGGGAGTGCTACACCTGCCCCTACACCTCCCCTCTCGCCTCCATCCGAGACCCAAGACAAACCTTCCAATTCTGACAGGGGTTCACCTGTACATCCTCCAACCTGGTCTACTGTATCCATTGCTCTCAATGTGGCCTCCTCTACATCGGTGAGACCAACCGTAGACTCGGTGACAGATTTGTGGAACACCTGTACTCTGTACACTATAATCAACACCTTCCTGTCGCCAACCATTTTAACTCCCCCTCCCACTACCTGGGTGACATGTCTATCCTAGGCCTCCTCCAGTGCCACAATGATGCTACACGCAAACTGGAGGAACAACACCTCACGTTCCACTTCAGCAGCCTGATGACCTAAACATAGAATTCACCAGTTTCAAAATCTCCTCACTCCCCCCCCCCCCCTCATCCCATGGCCAACCCTCCCTCTCACCTCTGCCTCTTTGACCTGACACTATCCGTCCAACTTCTTTTCCACCTTTCCGCCCCACCCTTCCCACTGACCAATCCCCACTACCCCTACCTGCATCCACCTATCGCCATCCCACCTACCATCCCCCAGCCCCACCCCTCCTCCCTCTATTTATTTCCCAGCTCCCTTCTCCCTCCCCAGTCCTGATGAAAGTTCCAGGTCCAAATTGTCGACTTTCCTGCACCTCTGATGCTGCCTAACCTGCTGTGTTCCTCCAGCTCCACACTGTGTTGACTCTGACTCCAGCATTTGCAGTTCTTGCTATCTCCTTGATCTACTTAAAATGGTCTACAATGATTAAGGCAGGGAGGTGTGTTTTTCGTACTAAACGCAATGCATAAGGGTCATCAGGGACTCTGCGCCCACAGGTGTGTTTCTCTACAGTTTGTGGGTCTGTGTATAATGCTACTATTCATTAAAGGGCTTCACATCTCTGGAATTGAAGCCCCCTCCCTCATAGCGCAATTCATTTACCTCGCCAACTCCGGGTGTGGTCGCAACCATTTTTATTTCCATTGTGCACTTGCCATTTTCAGGACATACACCAGTGGTGTTCCTCAGAGTGTTACTTCCAGGTTTTGCCTCTGTATGAGTGGCTGAGACCTCAAGCATCAACATCCCCTTCCTCTTGGCTGTCTGTAATCAACCCATAGGAGTTGGATCTCCCCAGGATCCCATTCCAAAATTCTATTTAAGTCAATGTTCTGAAGTAGAGACACCAGACCTGAAACGTTAACTCTGTTTCTCTCTCCACAGATGCTGCCAAATCTGCTGAGTTTTTCCAGCAGTTTCTGTTTTTGACTCTGAGTCTGCACCTGCCCAATTGGCCCCAGGCACATGACGTGAACATGCCAGATATAGTAATCACTGTATGCACCTTCCCACCCTTCAAAACAGATTGCTCCTCACTTGCTCTATCACCCTCCACTATCCATCTTTAAGACTGAGTTGCCTCTGCCCTTCACAATTGCTATCCCTTTTCCTCCCATCCTTTAGCACCTATAAACAAGACTAGGCTCCACAGCCTGCCTCCTGCGGCACTGGACTCCTGAAAATTCCCCATCCATTACTTTCAGTCAACAGACCCTCCAGATTCACTGTTACCCACCCCATGAATGATTCAGTTGGCAGCCCAGATGAGAAGTGCCCAAACCCTGACTGGTGCCCACCTCTCTGACTGTGGGCTCGAGACCCCAGGACTGGTTGCTTTGAACCCGCGGGGCTGTCCGTGACCCATCCCTGAACTGGAGAGATACAGACTGCTGACTGTGAGCACCCCGATCGGACACCCGATCATAGCTAAACCTTCTGGACTAATCTTGAAGGCTGCCTGCGAATTATTGTGCTGGAACCCACTTACTGATGGGTGCCCTCCTGGTCTTCAGTGAGGTTCGCTCCTCTTGGACTTTGACTCATGGCCACTTGCTTTCAGCGCATGCAGTGTGTTTGCTGTGTATGTTGGTTGCACATGGTTCAGGTATGAGATTGACGTGGCATGTGCCATTTGGCATAACAAGCTGTAGGCCTTTGTGTGTGCATGTACAGGCAGGTCAGAATGGAAGTTTACGCTGTGTCTAAGGGGCTGACACACTGAAAGGCATGGCACAGTAAAACCAGGCAGGGTGAGGGGGTGCTGCAAGCGTGCAGGTAGGTACAAAGTGAATGAGTGCAAAGAGAGCATGTAAGCAG